CAGTCTTTTCTCTCACTTTCCCTCTCTCTAACCCCTGCATACTAGTGGCGCTTCCACCTTGCTTAGGGTAAAATAATGTATATATCTCCTAAAGTGATCAGAACGTATTGGACATGTTCATACTCTGACTAAATACCAGAGAAATATTATAGAAGAAAGAAAAAAAATTAATTGGAAAATCTTTAACAAAGAACTTTAGTTTCTCTTCAACTAAATGTATATAGACATACACACACACTGCTAAAGATCTGTATATTTATACACTGAGTAACAGATATTATTGTTGTGTAAAAAGATATTGTTGTACATAAAAGATAAAATTGTTATGCCAAGCTATTTAAACAGGTTGAAATGTTAATTAATGAGCATTTTGTATATTTCAAGCTCAACATTTATATATATATATCATTTCACAAGCATGCAAAGCAATAAAGCCACTAGAAAACAAGGGGTTACTGAATGTTAGACATTATGAGAAAAAAACTACTATTATGGAGAAAGGACAATAAAAGAACAAGGATTAAAAAGGCAGAAGATAATGATTGACATTTAAATTTTTAAGATAAAAGTTGACTATGAAGTGAGAACCTGTAAGTGTGAGAGAAGAAACTGTTAGTATAGAACTTACAGTTCTCTCTAGCCATTTCAGCTGTAAAGTGACAAGTCCTTGCTACCAATCTAGTACTATCTAGGTATATTTATTCAGCCAATACATATGCCAATAAAAATATAATGTTCATAATTAGTATATAAATCTTTGAGTTGCTCTCATATATGTAATTTAGTTGTTTAAAGTTATACAACTACAAATCTTAAATATCATCAGTTATATAATAAATTGATTTCATAAAGTAATTGCATCTTTTTCAAGTAGGATGGGTAGCAAGAATAAGGGAAGAGGTACATACCTCCCCATCTCACCCAACAAAAAATAGAGAAAAACATGTTGACTGATGTTGAAGAAAGACCTGAATAGAAAAGAGATGAGGAAATGAATGTGCGATTTAGAGAGAGACGATGGACAGGAAAAAGTGAAAACAAGATAGAACAATGGAGATATACAAGTTGCATGGACACAGAGAGAGATAAAAAAAAAAAATTATAATTTAATTTAAAAAAATGTAGAAGGTGCAAAAAATCATCTTGAAAGAATGGATTAACAGAGAGAAAAAAAAATAATCTGACAAATAACTGCCTATGTTTTACCATAAAATTCCTATGCTAAAAATGGTAAATTCCTACAAAATACTCATACCTGTATTCATGCGGATACCAAAGACTTTGTATATATATTTCATAAATAAAACTAGATAAAGACAAATTAATGCTCAAAGCATAAGGTTTTATACATTAATAGCAGTTTTGGAAATTTTTTTGTATTTATAATCATCCAACAAAGGTTTTTCATCACACTAACAACAAGTTATTTACATCTGAGACCCAAACAATAATGCCTGAACTTTTCCAAGCAGTACCTTAGTCAGTGTAATAACCACAGATCTACTATGATTAGTCAATAAGCAGCACAACAATTCTTATGTAGATTAGTCTGTACCACAATTGTTATGCAAATTTGTGAACGATGCTGTCTGTGCTAATCAGATACATTTCCACAGAGAGAATGATACTGAATGACAAAATTAGTTGCACCAAATGCACCTATTAGTTAGTTTGTTCTCCCATATTATTTTTAATAATAACAATTATGCAAAGTTTTTACCAGAAGTTCAAGCAATTTAAACAGACTGAAAAGATATAAATAACAAATATAAATATAGAACTGTCATAATTTAGCTCTTGAAAATATGTTTCAACTGAGCACTGTTGAGTAATAAGCTAATTCTATAAGCAACAGCCACCTGCACTAATGCAGAGCTCTTCAGTAAAATGAATGGAGCACTTTGGCTGATTGGCATTTGTTTACATTCATAAAAATAATACGCAACATGAGTGAAGATAGCTCAGTGGTAGAAACTCTGATTAACACCAAATTGGTTGGGTTTTGATCCTGGCTTGAGACATTCACATGTCTAGTCACACTGAGGAACTGTGATACAGCAAAACAGTACTGTCTGCAAATGACATATATTTCCAAGAGGATAAAATCCAGGTAGAGCTCTATGTACAAGACAGAGCAAGAATATAAAATAAAAGGCTCAAATACTAATATTCCATGGTTATAATTTATTACATTGGAATCATAATCACTATCCAATTCATCAGACCTGCAAATTCAAAAAGAAAACAGAAAAAATAACTCTGGGTATAAAAAATAAAATTTCAGTGAGAGTTTATATGGGGGAGTGAGAAACAAGGGTGAGAGGGGAAATGTATGAAAACTCTAGAGAGAGGTGTAATTAAAAAAAAAGAACAAGAAAGGCCTTAAGGTGATGGGAGGGAATAAAATTTAAAAGAGAGAAGTTAAATAATGGCTTAAATGAGTGAGATACAGATAAATATGAGTTATTATCAGATACCTAAATCTTTCTTTTAAATTTTATTCCCAACCCTCACCTAAGGCCTTATGATTTCTTGATACAGTTGTGTACATTCGCTTGGGAGAGTAGCAATTCTGTTAGGAAAGGTGATATTGAGAAAATGCCCGAGTGTAGAATAATATTTGAATAATATTCAATGGCGGCACTCTTGAGGATTTTCCTTCCAAGTGAGTTTTCTTTTTTTATGAGTATAGCATTTTTAAAATCAAAATTGTGGTTGAATTTATTTCTATGTATAACTAGTTTATTAGTTAAGTTGGTTTTTGTGAGGTCTGTTTTGTGCCCATAGATGTGCTTTTTTAAATTTCTGTTTATTTCTCCAATAAATTGGGAGGAACAATTTTGACAATCTATTTTATAAATGCCTGATTCAAAAATATTATTGCTTTTTTGTGTTTGAGGATCTGAGTATATTCATAATGGTTTTGGAAGTGCTTGTGATTATTTTAAGATTATTTAGATGGAATAGATTGTTCTGGATAGTGGACATAACGGAGTTGGTCAGTAGCATTATGCATGTGTTTTCATGTAATTTATTATTATGGATTATGTTATTTCGCTTGTATATTTTGTATGGCTTTCTTGTGTTGTGGATGAAATAATATGGGTATTGTAGGTTTTTGAATGTGTTTTCTATGTATGTTTCTTCTTTAGGTAAATATTGGGTACTGCAGATTCTTAATGTTCTCAGTTAGAAACTTATAATAATTCCAGATTTAATTTTAAAAGAATGCTTACAGTAGAAACTGATCAGGTCATTTTTGTTTGTAGCCTTCCTGTAAACATAAAAATTGAGTTCATTATTATTTCAAAAGTGAAGTCTATTGTAGGTTCAACATTGTTAAGTTGTTTGAGAAGGTCTATTAAATTAGTATTTTGTGGATATATTAATAGTGAGTTGTCTATGTATCTGAAATAGGAAGAGTTTGGAGGGAGAATATTTTTGAATGGATCAATTACTAGAAACTCTAAAAATAGACAAGCAAGAATGTCGCTGAGAGGAGATCCCATTGGTAAACCAAATTTTTGTCTGTAACGTTTCTTTACCAAAGAGAGATAGTTAGATAGCCTGAAGATTGAATTCAAGCATAGAATAGACTGTTGATATTTATATATATATTATATATATATATATATATATATATATATATATATGGCTGAATTATCATTGTTTTTAAGTATCAAATGGATGTCTTAGAAGATATCTATTTCTTTAGATGAGACTATGGTTTATTGTTTTATGCTTCATTGATATGCAACATGTGCTTAGAGAGGAAGCAGTTTTAGCTGGACAACAGCGCAATTAACGGCAAATGAGTGACCCTAAAATAGAAGGTCTGAAAAGAAGAGCAACAATTTAATGGGAACAGATAATCTTGAAAGAAGAAGCTTGGCAGAGATATTTGGAGCTTGTAAACAGATGGTCAGATAAAAAAGAAAAAAGGAGAGGTCAAAAAAAAAAGAAAAAAGAATGGGAGTAAATCAATAAAGACAGGAATTAATATATGACCAAAGGAAAGCAAACTAAAGTTAATGATTGAGAAGGAGAGAAATGAAAAAAGAATAATAGAAGAAATGAATTCAACATCTAAAAAAAAATTCATGTTGATGTTTTGCAAATGACCAGAGGAAAGAACAGGAAAGTGAATCTTGGATATAAACAGAAAAAAGTAATTTCTGGAATGAGAAATTACAATTATTTACATTATTTACACTCAGACTAGAAGAAAGAATGAATGGTTGATAGAAAAAGGAACAACTGAAGATGTGAACTATGAACTGGAGACAAAAATCAAGCAAGTGCAAAAATTTAAATATCTCGGTAGTGTTTTAACAGATGACCGAAAATGCAACATCAAAATTAGGTATTTTTGAATAGCAAAAATTGCCTTCCAAAAGATAAGCAAAAAATTAAGAAACAGGAAATTTTCATTAGAAACAAAGAAAAGAGTGCTGAATTATATTGTAATATCAGTCCTCCTATATGGCAGTGAATGTTGGACAATCTTCTTGCAGATGAAGAACGGGCAATATAATTGTGATTCTACAGAAGGATGGTGGGAAGATGGATTCATATCTTTCCCAGGGATATTTGTGTGTAAGGGAATATAACAAGCTAAACTGGAATTGGAACTCAGCTCTCCAATTAACAATTCTGAGCCATTTTTCATTACACCAACCATGTTTACTGTAGTCTCTGAATATAGAATCCAGTGAAGTCTATAATGTGTTCAATATCAGAGGTCGGCAGTGAAGATTCAGAGAAAGTAGCAGTTATTAACTAATTCTTTAAGTCTTCGATATCAGAGGTTGGCAGTGAAGATATTTTGGGAGAAAAAACAAAATGGCTAACTTTATACACATCGGATTGAATATTTTGAGCTTTCCGATTGGTTAACCCTTCTCTTGGTGGACTATAAAATGAGTCAGCTCATTTTGGTTGGCTCACTAGTACATAGATATATCCCAAAAACTGTAACAAACCACACATCTAAGCATATTACACCTGGTATTCCGAGGAAGTCAACCATCTAGGTACTGACCAAGTTCAATGTTGCTTAACTTTGATGATCATATGGGAACTGGTGTTTCAGTGTGATATGACCATAAGCCATTTTTAAGTTTAGTAAAATGCAAGACAGAAAGACTAAAGAAATAATAGCAATATAACAATAACAATTTTTTTGACAAAAAAAATATTGGTACAGTGTACTTTTAGAAGATAATGTTTTTTCTTTTTAAATTTTAATCTGAAAATAATATTAATTAATTTTATTAATTAAATAAAATCAAAGTTTATTTGTTGAAATATTTCAATACTTAGTTCAATAAAAATGACTGACAAGGTATTTCTGAAGTATTTTACTGTAATTTTTTTTATATGTGAACAAAAGATTTCTTATTCTGAAAAATTTCTACACTCAATAAATCCCTAAAATTAATCATGTTATGTTCCAGAATGATGATATTTCATCATTCTAAAAATAACCTTGTCATCAGTGATGATAGGAAAGAAGTATATTTCATTATCCTAACCCTCATCATTATAAAACAACCCTCCCACCAAAAGAGAGTCAGTAGAGTAATTTAGAAAAGGGTACTTGTAGTAATAGTCAGTGGATGAGTAGACAAGTAGCAGTAAAGAAACATGTCTATCAGTGCTCCATGAAGATCAAAAACAGATGATTTCAAGTGCCATCCTCACAAACGAAATTCTCAGAACCAAACCAAATAAGCACTGACTTTTAAACAAAGGAGACACTGACAACATTTTTACACCCAACATACCATTATTCTGTTATTCACATCGCAAAAAGAAAATACAAATTTATGTCAACATATGTCTCAAGTTTTTATTGTTATTATTATGTTTTATGCATTTAAAATTCATGTTACTAATACCAATCCTGTTGCAATCTCTTGTTTTTATTAAAGAATGACACAAAACACTAGAATCTATTATTATGGAAATGAAATAAATAAATAAAACCTCTTTTATCACAGGAGATGGTATCTTGAAGCATGTATGAAATAATACATAATTTAAAAAAAAAATTAAAAAGCATTCTTTTTGATGCAGTCTTGCTCCCCTTAACTATTGCACAGGATATCATTGTGGACTTTCAGTTTCTAAACAATACAACGATATAGTCAACAGAATCTTGCCTACTACACAGACAACATGATTCTTGTCAATGACTGAGATGTTACAGTTATTGAACAAATGAAAATAAACTTTAGACAATTTGTACACAATTTTGATCCAAACATAGAACACCTCATTCAAAAATTAGAAAAATACAACAAAAAATAACAATAAAACTAACTGTTGTATTTAATCAAACTTGCTGGGATGAATAAATGATGCCTAAATTTACCTTTATATGGATAAAGAGACAGAGAGAGCAAGCTACAAGTCCTACAAAAGAAGAGAAGTAGTAAAGTGGAAAAATGAACAATGATTGGTGGAAAAATAATCATCATCAAACCAAATAATAATTATCAATATGTATTTATCTATTCCCTGTCACAGGTGTAGTGGGTAAGTAAGTAAATAAACTTAAGTTAGTAAATTTATAAATGATTACACCCATTTATGAAGAATATGAAATTAAATAATTAAATTATGAAGAATATGAATTAAATATGAAATTAAATATTAAATTAAAATATAAATATATGGAGAATATGAAATTAAATATAATTAAATATATGGAGAATATGAAATTAAATATAATTAAATATATGAAGAATATGAAATTAAATATAATTAAATATATGAAGAATATGAAATTAAATATAATTAAATATATGGAAATATGAAATTAAATATAATTAAATATATGAAGAATATGAAATTAAATATAATTAAATATATGAAGAATATGAAATTAAATATAATTAAATATATTGAGAATATGAAATTAAATGTAATTAAATATATGGAGAATATGAAATTAAATATAATTAAATATATGGAGAATATTAAATTAATTATAATTAAATATATGGAGAATATGAAATTAAATATAATTAAATATGAATTTAACAAAATAATAGAAAAAGAAGGAATGAGAAAGAAAAAGTGCATATCTCAAATGAAAGGTGAGAGAGAGAGAAGGAAAGATTAACATGTCTATATATTGAAAGGAGAGTAAGGATGAGTATACACTATGTGAAATGAAGATTTATAAAAAAAACAAAAAATAGAGAGGTAGTGATCAGCAAGTGTGACTGTCAAGGTATCAGCTTCGAATTAACTGAGTAAATGTGACACAGAAATTTTTCACAAGAACAGAAGCTGCTTTCCAGAAAAAAAAAAAAAAAAAAACAAGTATAAACATGGATATTAGAAACAAAGTAAAGAATATTTAACTGCTATATAATATCTGTTGGGATCCATCTACTCCAGTTTTTGTCATCAAGTATCAAGATTCCAAACATTTAACAAGAACACATCTTTTAAATGAAACAAAAAAAGGTTATTTTCTGAAGGAAAAGTAAAAGCAGAATGTCAATTGAAATAACATTTATATGTTCTTTTCAGAAATGTACAATAACAATAAAATGTTTAATTTTCCTTGCAGTAAAGCTTGTTTTATAAAGTAAAGAAGTATTCATATTGTGATGTGAGATGTGTGGAGAGACTTATTTTGTGACAGTCAGCCTAATGTGTTTGTAAGTTTGTAGACAAAGTCTTAGTCAGTGGCTGCTGGCTGTCATCTCTTCCATTGTGTGCTTGTGCAAATCAAACTTGCCTTTGAAATTGTGTTGATCCCTAAGAAGCAATAGGCTTCTATTTTTATATCTGTAAGGAGGGGATTCAGAATCTAATTTTACATAGAGGTGTGAAGTTTTTAAATATAAGGTTTTCCTTAATTAAAAAATAATTTCCCACTGGTTTGTCAAAATTATTTTCTTGAATTTGTGGGAATGGTGAAAGAAGTTATTATTGTTACTTTCTAAATCATCCAAAAACAACATGTGATAGATCTACAACTACACTTGCAATTATTTTGGAAGTATTTGCCCTAGTAAATATTGTTTATCTAACAAGTTTTCTGTTGGGATTTTATTGGCTGAAATCGCACATATAATATATAAATAATTATACATATATATATTTATTTATATTTATATACACTTTTCACATACACACATATATATATATATATATATATATATATATATATATATATATATATATATATATATATATATATATTCCTATATGGTAATGAATCATGATCAATTTCATCGAAAGTGAAGATGACTCTTGAAGCAACTAAGATGTTGTTTAACAAAAGGGTGCTTTATATACTACAGGAGTAAAGAAAAAGTTTTAGCAAAAAATGGAAACCAAAAGGATACAATTAAAATAAAGAGAAATCAGTTGGAACTACTTGGACATATAAGCAAAAGAAGATTTAGAAAAATTAACTCTCACAGGACATACTGAAGGAATGAGTTTCTGTGAATGAATGGAAGAGGGCACAGAAAAGGATTGTTTATATTACTTAGAGCTACAAGGAACTGGAAGTTGTGGAGAACTATGATCATCTACATCCTGAAGGGTGATGTCACATAAAATAAGAAGTAATAAGAACAAGCAAAACTAGATAGAGAAACTATTTTTCTAGCAAATAAGTAAATGCGTAAATAAATAAAAGTCTGCAATAACAATAACAACAAATTCCAATCTTACAGGTCATTAAGTGAAAATAAAAGAAACTTATAGTAAAAGTCAATATCTTCTAATGCCTGTTTAGCTCTTTTATGAATAATGCATGTTTTATACACAAAATTCTGATGATATTTGCATATCAAACTGTAGACATCGACATCAGTATATAGTTGGCAAATCAGCAACAAATCTATCTGCAACGGTTTCATATGGTAACTTTCAGCTTGATAAATTTCTTTTCATTATTTTGTCATTCGTATATATTAGGATAATTATACATCAGTTTATTAAAAAAAATGTCTTTCTATTCATTGTTTTCACAATTTATCCATTCAACCTTTTTTGATAATATTTATTGATTTCAAAACTGAGCCCATTATTCAATCCAAGTGGATATACAAGCTCTCTTTAATGGCTCCCACATCTGGAAAATGGGTCCACTTGATGAACATTACCATGTTGGAGCAACTTCCCTATTCACCCAGCTCCTTTTCCCTCAGCTCAAGGGGACTATCAAAGAGAGCTGTTTTCCGAATGTAGGAGCAATCAAGAGGGCTGTGACTGGATCTGTAGAGAATACTTCCAGGAATGCATCGAGGCATAGTGGAGAAGGATGGCAAAGTATGTTAGACTTGAGAGGGTATAATTTTGAAGGAGAAAACTCATAGTTTGGATTTTACATAAATTTTTTGTGACTTCAGTCCTGTTTCTTTTCTGACACACCTCTCACAGTTCGCATTCTACTGTGCATGTTGGGTACTATCTCACTATTTATTGTGTTAATTCTTTCTTGTAATGCTGTTTGTGCTACACATGTGGAGATGGATTCAATTGCCTGACCCAAGGACTGAACTCACAAACTGTTGATAAGCATTACTTCATAGATATAAACATTGATTAAATTTGAAGAATTCAGTATCTCACTTTCTCTGACTTCCTGAAATGCCCTTCTGGTGCATAAAGGTTGTAGCCTCACTATATAAGATGTTGTTTCTGTGGTTAGGGTGAAGGCATGCTCAATCAGTTTCGAATTCAGGGGTAACAATCTCCTATGTTTGCTATCTGAAAATAGACAACACAGTCTTGTTGTATGTACCATGTTCCTTCATGATATGGTTCTCGACAACATCCTGTCCTTTGTGGCTGTTTCTACCTTGCTATTTAACCTATAGCTGGAGAGGAAAAGACATCCATACCTTTCCAAACGGTATTTTCACAAAAGTGAATACAATGAACTCAGCTGGAACTTGAATTCAGCATGCAGGTTCCATTTTTTGCTACACTATGTGAATATTAGCAAAAATCAGTGTACGAGAATGAGAATTTTTTTCATCTCAGAAATTCAGATCAGTACTTCTCTTGTTAAATATCTCTTATTGTGATACATTCTCATTGCCAAATTTAGTTTCTTGTTTATGTTCATTATTCTTGAATATATATCAGCCCTACATTAACATATAACAAATGTAATGGCTGATTGATAAGTATTGCTGCCTATGATGTAGTCTCACTAATAATGGATAAAAAAAACTAGTTTTAACTTTTATTCCATGAAGTCCTGTTCAAACAGGCTTAACTTCATTTCATTGTGTGACAACACTGAGTAACAACATTCTTTAGTCACAAGAATGATTGGACTTGAAACTTGGTTTTCCAATTCTAACCCATTATCCATTACACTACCCACCCATCCCAGCATACAACACCTCGTATACTTCAGTGGTCATTCACCTAGGTACTGACCAGGCTCAATGTTGCATAATTTCATTGATTGTATCAGAAACTATTGTTTCAATGTGATATGGAATGAGCCTGGAATTGAGCCTACAACTTTACATAAAGCGTAAACAAAAATAACAGTGCTATTAGAAGAATAGAGAAGAAATTAATTTCGAACATATTTGCTTGATTCTCAGAAGATTTTACTATTCTAAGACAAAAACGGCTGTAGTTTGTTACTTTTTTTTCTCAACAAGACATTCATTTTGAAAGAAGTTAGAAGAGAAAGTGAAAAAAAAAGAAATTTAAATGTTATTTTTTTTTTTTTAAGAGATTCGAAAATTAAATATTTTCATGATTACACTTTCTTGTATTCTATCATTACTTTTTAGCTAATATCCTCAGCCTTATGTTTTTAGTTGATCCCCCTTGCTGGAATTTGAAATTAAAAAGTTACTTTCAACATGATCTATCTTGCGAGTTTGGTTAGCTCTCATTTAAGAAACAAGAATCATTAAAGTCCTGAAGCTTTCATGAAAGACCCCATGACTATTAAAGTACAAATAACTCAATGGGGAAAAATTACTTGGTTTTATACATTTTTATTGGAAGTAGAACTGGCTGCTTTGTCAATGAATGCTGAATGTGTCCTTAGAAAGAAATGACTAATATTACCTATTACTATCTCAAGAATCACTAGGTTACACAGCAGGAATAAGGAATTGAATGTCAAAATTTGGAAGAATTTAATGACCATCAAGTAGGGTTTGTCATGTTGCCTACATGCCCCAAAACTGACTCCTGCAACATGCTTTCTTTGTTGTTGTAAGGTAAACAAAACAATAGTCACATCAGCGTCATCCTGAAGTCCTGTAATATCTTCCCTAGTCAATCTGAAAAGTTGTTTCATGATTGGTCTGGTTGGTGACATGCCTGCATGGATGCTGGTCCATCAAGTAGAGAAATGTTGTCAAAGAACTACAAGTTTGATACATGATGATACCTGTTTTTATATTGCAAATGCATTGCAGTAAATAGTCATGTAGTTTAGATAGGAAATTCTCCCATATGCAGCATCTTGTCTACACCTGTCACCATCAGGGTGTCACTTGTTTTCCTCCATATAACAAGATATAAAAAAAGAATTCTTCAAAGAATTCACTGAATCAACTCCAGAATTTAGGATTTTGGAAAAGTAATTATGAATTTCATCACTATGCATTATGAGTCAACCAATCAAAACAAAACAAAGATTGAATCGTAGAAAATTCATCTTGAATTAGTTCATTATCTCTTCTACACGACAGCGTATCATCTGGCATTTTGACTTTAGTCTCTTTCCCACTGCCGTAAGGTTGCCTCCCTCTGCCTTTTCTATAAATACTTTCATGGTAATTGTTCAGATGAGCTCTTCTCTATTGTACTTAGATTTTCTTTTTTATTTAAGCACAGTACTAGATTGGCAACAAGGTCTTATCAATTTATGGTTGAGTTGGCTAGATGTAACCATAATTTCTATGCTAACAGTTTCTTTTCTTGCATGTCTCATATGCAGAACTCGTATCTGGCTCCATGCTTTCCAGCCAACTATAATCTGCAAAAATTTAAATCCAATGTTAATTGATATCTACTGTCCTCCTGATTACTCTTCTTTTTTTCTTGTTTCTTAGCAAGGTTTCTGTTTCTAACTCTTCCACACTCAGTATCTCCTTGTTTCTCAGTGGCTTTACTACCTTGCCTAGAGCAAAATCAATTAAAAAAAAATATAGATGGTTAAATTGGGAAAACTTGTAAATAGAATTTGGATGTCTCATGAGAATGAAAGACAACATTCCACTATCTTCAAGGGTCTTTATCCAAGAATGCTAACCTTTAATTTGTGCATTGCATTTTTAGAGGTGATGAATACTTGGCTTTGCATGCCAACTGAAAATGAAAAAAACAGTGATTATTGTGATGATTGGGAAACCAGTGCCATCACCAAAAGCAGGAGTCCATCCATAGAAATTCTTGCCTTATGTTTAGTGGGACATTAGAAGCATGCAAAAATCATCACTGCAGAAGTTTATTGTCAAACATGTTCCACCTTAGTAATCAGAAAGGTGTTATTCTTGAGTAAGGATAGAACGTCTTTAGTAAGGAAGCAAAAAAAAAAACCCTCCCAAAAAAATAAAATCATTAGGATGGGATATTCTTCCACAATTTCCATATTCACAAATTTACTCCTAGCAAATTTTCATTTGTTTTAATCACTAGAACATGTCAGAAAAAAAAAAGTTGAAAAGAGTCTTTCAAACCAGATTTATTTTAGTGTCGAATTGATAATTTACCTTTCCGCTGGGCTCTAGTTGTTTGAAATGAAAGTGGTTACATGTGTGATAAATAATATTTAAATAAATATAACTTACATTTTATTTTATAACATTTCAAGTAAAACGTAATTACTTTCTGAAAACCCTAATTATATACACAAGCTGAGAGATGGCATATCATCATCGAAGACATGAAAAATACTTTGTTGATTAAGTGGATGCCATGAATTTCTTTAAATAAAAGATTTTGACAGATATGCTGGAAACTTTCGCATCACTGATTGAATTGTTTCTGCTTTTTGGATTCTTTAAGAAAAGAAAAATGGAAAAGTTGAAACCATCAGGAACCAGAGAATCCATGGCTTCAGGAAATTGAGTCAACTGCTCACAAATTAACTTATTCAGCCAACTAAGGCATCATTAACCATTGCAAGAGTTCTTGATTTTATTTCCAGGATGTTAAATTTCCATATTTTTACCCTCTCACCTGTCACTTAATTACATACCTGACTAAATTGTCATGCTGCGGGGTTGCATATTGTTACTATCATTTTCACCTGCATGTAATCAGCAAAAATGCCTTGGAAACTTTTGAGAGATGCACTATGTTAAAGCATAGTCTGATACAGGCAGTTACTCCAAATGATAACAATTTGATAAAGAGGAAGGGTTTAGAAAAAGGATGTGTTTAGTCAGGTTTGAATAACCAAAAGAAGCAGATGATCACTGAAACTTGCATGAGCTGTGTTAGTTTCTGTCATGACAGACAATGGAAAAGAAGATACATTATGAAAAAAAGAGATGGAGAGATATTAGGAAGAAAAGAGTCAGTTAGATATTAAGTTGTAATCGATCAGGGTGATATAATGAAGAAAAGAGAGCGGGAAGATGTGGAGAAGAAAAGAGAGCGGGAAGATGTGGAGAAGAAAAGAGAGCGGGAAGATGTGGAGAAGAAAAGAGAGCGGGAAGATGTGGAGAAGAAAAGAGAGCGGGAAGATGTGGAGAAGAAAAGAGAGCGGGAAGATGTGGGAGAAGAAAAAGAGCGGGAAGATGTGGAGAAGAAAAAGACCGGGAAGATGTGGAGAGAAAAAAGAGAGCGGGAAGATGTGGAGAAGAAAAAAGGCCGGGAAGATGTGGAGAAAGAAAAGAGACCGGGGGAAGATGTGGAAAGAAAAGAGACCGGGAAGATGTGGAGAAGAAAAGAGACCGGGAAGATGTGGAGAAGAAAAGAGACCGGGAAGATGTGGAGAAGAAAAGAGAGCGGGAAGATGTGGAGAAGAAAAGAGAGCGGGAAGATGTGGAGAAGAAAAGAGACCGGGAAGATGTGGAGAAGAAAAGAGACCGGGAAGATGTGGAGAAGAAAAAGAGCGGGGAAGATGTGGAGAAGAGCGGGAAGATGTGGGAGAAAAGAAAAGAAAGCGGGAAGATGTGGAGAAGAAAAGAGCGGGGGAAGATGTGGAGAAGAAAAGAAGATGTGGAGGAAAAAGATGCGGGAAGAGAAGAAAAGAGAGCGGGAAGATGTGGAGAAGAAAAGACCAGGAAGATGTGGAGAAGAAAAGGACCAGGAAGATGTGGAAAGAAAAAGGAGCCGGGGAAGATGTGGAGAAGAAAAGAGACCGGGAAGATGTGGAGAAGAAAAAAGAGACCGGGAAGATGTGGAGAAGAAAAGAGACCGGGAAGATGTGGAGAAGAAAAGAGACCAGGAGATATGAAGAAGAAAAACAAGGAGATATTAGGAAGAAAAGAGACTGTGAGATGTGAAAAAGAAAAGAGACCATGAGATATAAGACGAAAAGAGGCCAGGAGATATTAAGACAATATGTTGAGACAATATGGTGCCAGCCTCCTCCATCATGTCAGCTGAGAAATGCTCACTGAGTCTGGTTCTCTTTGCAAAGCATAAGAATCATACAGGCAAACAAGTAAAATAATAGCATAATTATTCAGCCAATGGAAATATTTAAATGCTTTGAATTTTAAAGATGAAACCAATAACGCTCTGTCCTGTGCAGGTTTCATCATTAGCTGAAATTGTCAATATGATTGTTTTAATGTTTTCTTTTGTCTGTTGGTAGTCACTTTGACCTTCATTTAGAGGACAAAAATTAAGATCAATCTTGTTTCTTTTCATGCATTTCAATAATTTTATAAACGCACATCTAAAACCTGATCTGACAGGACCTTGCCAGTAGAGAAATTGAACCTGTTTCTTATGTAACACTCAGTGCTCTTCTAAATGTGACATCTCCTCTCAAGACATGGGGGATCATGGCTCTCCACAACGTCCTATCTTGTGTAGCTCTTAATTTTGTTTGTTTTCACGATTCTTCCCATAAACTCATCAGGTTGGTGGTCCTGTGAGTGTCAAATTTTCCAAACCCTCATTCCTTATTATGTGTCACAGAATTCTCTTTCTGATGTCTTTGTTGCCATGCTCCATCCATGGTCTTCTCAGCATCCTTTTAAACGATAGAGTAATGGATAGCTGATCGGATTGAGGAATTGGAGTACAGAGTTCGAATTCGAGTTGAATCCGTTACATTCACTTACGTGTTAGTACCCTTAGTAAAGGTATGAACCCTCTTCTTCGCACCACCAGATATGGGTAAATAGCAGGACAGACCAGGTTCTATAGCCTCAAATGGCAACCTACTGTGGAAAAAAAAAACCTGCCCCTTCAGTTATGTATCAAAAGACTGATCTGACGAAAGATATGTATTTCATTATTTTTGTTTTATAACTATGTACATTTCAATTACACCCATCTTCTAACAAAGCCCCCCCCCCCCCAATAAATGAAGAAACTACTTTTTAAAATTCTGAAAATTAATAAAAGAAATGCTGCCTATTACCCAACAGATGTGGACCCTGGAATGTCAACACAGACCGTTGGGAGTTGCTTATTTGCATATAAGAGAATTGATATTACATAGCAGTTCAGTACTTTTTTCTTCGTTTCTAATTAAATGTTTCTGTTTCTTAATATTTTGCTTAGATTTCAGGATACATCTTTGCTATTCCAATGCACTTTTCAGATTTCTGTGTCACATTTCCCCATCCTCTTTTAATTTTCTCTTGTTTGTTTTACAGCATATCAAACCCTTGGCTCATTTAATGCCAAAATTTAATGTTTTTTCCAAAATAAAACCTTGTATTTAAACAGTCAAAACATTTTTTTTTAAAAATAGTAAGACTGTTGTTAACTATGTTTTCTTTTTAATTATATTTTTGAACTCAGTTTAATTTCTCTTAAGAACTGAAATATGAAAAAATGAATCATTATTTTGAATTGAATACTGATTCATTTTACATACTCATAAAAAATGTTTTGATAACCCATTCATATTGACAAACTGCAGGAATTTTAACGTTTGGTGTTTGGTAGTATTTTAAGCAGATTGAATTAAAATTGCTGCAATTTGTCAATATGTGTTTTATGGTGAGTGGCTTTTTGCATGCTGCACATACCAATGGATCTTTTTTTATTGGGATATATGAATGGGTTATTTTTTTATTTTATTTTTTTTTAAGCATTACACCCCAAGCCAGTGTGAAGCCACTAGGATGCAGGGGGTTGCAGAAGATTTGAAGCAAGAGCAGATAGGAGTGATAGAAGAAAGAATGAGGAGAGGGATAGTGGATAGATCAAGGTAACTGGAGATGTTGATTGACATTACATCTGAATAGTTGGAGATTATAGTTCTCAGGGAAACAGTAATTGGGAAGGGTGTTCCACAGGCGAGAGGTGCGAGTTATGAAGCTATTGGAGTAGAAGAGACAGCTACATTTAAAAATTTCTACAGTATAAGGGTGGGAGCGGGATGTCAGCCTTGTAGGGCGCTTGAATTCATGGAGTCTGGGAACCAGTGCCAATACAAAGCCTGGACATAATCACTTCTTCTCTTCCAGTTTGGTGTTTCTGATATTCTCTCCTGTAGTTGGTTTATTATTTAGGCAGGAGTCCCAGAAGTTCTGCCACTTCTTCCTAATATATTTATTGATTGCTGGTTTCAGATCTGTATATAGAATTCCGGCCTTTGGCTGGGATTCATATACTTTGAATATATTAATCTCAAGCCCCATGGAGCCTTCCCCAGGCAGTACCGCTCCTCCAGCACCTGAGGTGTCCCCAAAAAGGGAATACTGAGAGGGCTTGGGCAATTTTTCCACAGTATTGCCATTAAACCCACACTAAACCAGAACCATGTCTTTCATTCAGTAGTGATGCGTACATGCTGAAAAATACTTGTATATGGGATTTTGCTATTTAAGAGGTCAGATGCGTGTTTTTTTTTTTTTATAATAGATGCTTTTCTTGCTGTGAAATGTGCTCTGTCATTTCCTATGATACTAATATGGCTTGATATCCAGAAGAACACAATATCTGTTTTTAAGTTATTGATCCCGTTGAGAAGTTTAATGATAAGTAGGTCTGACATTGCCCTTTTTAAAGACATTTTCCAGATATTTAAACTTCTGTACTTGTTGAATTCTGACATCTCCATTTGTAGTTAGCAACTTGGGCTTTTCTCTTGCTATCTCTCAGGGATACTTATCACAATATCACAGTAGAGTTAAATTAATAAAGTTTTTGGAGTGGGGGATAATTTTAATGGATGAGGATGATAAAATAAATGTTTATTCATACCTTCATAAAATTATATGACTGAATGTCTTTCAGTTAATTTAGTTACCCCATTTACTTGGTGTCATTTAAATCAATATTAAGTATAGGAGGCATGGTGGAGTAATGGATAGAGGCTTGGATTGAGGAATCAGAGAACTGAGTTCAAATTCCAGTCAAATCCATTAACATGCGAATACCCTTGGGAAAGGTATGAATCCTCTTCTTCTCCACCCAGCTATGGGTAAATAGCAGGACAGACTGGGTTCTATAGCCTTGGATTGGTAACTGGTCTACTGCAGAAATAACTGGCAACCTACTATGGGAAAATTAGCTACCAGTGTCACCTATGTAGACAAACTTCAAAGTAGGATGGGAGTACCACTAGTATGCAAGGGGTTACAGAAAGTGTAAGTCAGAGAAAAGACTGAGTATGGGGGTGGGTGGTGAGGAAAGGATAAAAAGAAGAATGGAGGAGGGTAAAAAGAAGAATGGGGATCAAGGCAACAGAAGATTATAGTTATCAGGGAAGTAAGTAAGAGGAAGGGAGTTCCATTGTCTGGAAGTGTGAGAGAAGAAGTGGTTGGAGTAGAAGAGGTTGTTATATTAGTGTTTCAGTAAAAAGGTTGGACCGAGATGTCAACCTAGTAGCATCCTTAAATTCATGCAGTTGGAGCACTAGTGAAAATAGCTCGTCAGAGCAGAGGTCATGAAAATATTTAGGGACAACTCAGACAAACTCCGGCAGATATGAATATAGATCAGTATTTTTTGTATTAATATTGGTTTGCACTTTGTATATTTCTGATGAGTACATCTCTGATATTACAGTTATCCTTTGCATCTGTTAAGCCATTATTATGTTTTATTTGTATATTTCTGAATATCTGATATTAACTCTTGCAGAATAACATGAGTGTAAGGTGCTTTGGAAAGTCATTGTAGTTGAACATTAGCTGTCTTCTTTTCACACTACAATCATGACTAAAATTTCTGCTGGAAAAAAGATGAAGGCTGCGATTTTGAAGGGGAAGATGACTCAATGAAAGTTAGGCAGGCAGCTTAGAATTTCTAGAAATAGTGTTCAAATCATTCAAAAAATGCTTGCTACTGCTGGAATTGTTTTAAGTGCAAAGAAAACCAGAAGATCACAAAAGTTAGATCAGAAAAATGAAAGAAAGATTGCAAAATTCTTGGTAGACCATCCAAAATTAACAGTCAAATAAATGTCAAGAGAATGCAGTCGGAACAGTGAGGTTTCAGTAGATACAGTATACAGAGAATTACAAAGGAACATCTTCAGTTGGTATATAGCATAGAAAAAAACATCATTAACCAAAATCACTGAAATAGCAGACTAAAGTGGGCAAAAGAAAATTTAACATGGAATACTGAAAAGTGATGAAAAGGTAATTTTTAGCAATGAATACAAAATGGTTACATTCTAATACAAGAGAATAAGTAAGAAGAGCTGTGGGTGAAAGAAACAATGCAAGATACACTACGAAGGCAGTAAGATTTGCTTGTGGACATGTAATAGTGTGGGGCTGCATCAAATGAAGAAAATTGATAAAAGTTGATGGAAATCTAAACAGCAAAAATTATGATCGTTTACTATGGTTTAAAGTTTTGCTAAATTATGAAAAAGGAGAAATTCTTCAGCATGATAGTGCTCCTTGGCACACATCACTTGTCACAAAAGGTTTTTTTCTGCATGAAGATGTTTAACTTTTGGCAGACTAACCACCATAAAGTCCTGATCTCAATATCACAGTCTCCAAAAGCTTTGGTATAACTGCTAAGAAGAATGCGAAAGAATTCCCAAGAGGTCACCCATCTAGGTACAGACCAGGCTTAACTTCAGTGACCGTATAGGATTCATTGTTTTAATGTGATGTAGCCATAAGGAGGAGGGTATTTTAGGCTGCAGTTGAAATTAAGCAGTGAAGAGGAGGCAGGTGACCTTGTGAAAAGGACAACACAGTGCAGTTTTGAACAGTATGAGGTCCACTGGAGTAAGTCAGTTCTCAGAGGGAGTATTTTCAAGGTGACTAAAGTGCCATTGCCCTGGGTAGGCTTATTTTTTTTTCGTTAATATTAAATAGCTGGGCACTTTCTAAATATAAATAGATATTTTCTTTGGCAACATGTGAG